GTGACGGGCACCCAGCGGTTACGAATCAGGATAGGAGAAACGCTCATCCGCCATGACATGTTCATCGTGGAGGAGACGACCGAAACCATCATCGGAACCGACATCCTGAAACGGCTCGGTGTCACAATTGACCTGAGAAACGATGTGGTGATCGTGGCTAACGAGACGATCGAGATAAACAAGGGGAGAACCGACCGGGTTGGTGCCCTCAAAGCCGTGCCTGATTGTCAGAACCGTGCAATACGCAGCGTACTGAGCAGGTATGCCCACTTATTCACAGACGCGGAAGATGATTACGGATTTTGCAATTGGGTTGAACACCGAATACCGTTGATCCCAGGAGGACAATGCAAGCCAATCTTCAGACGAATTCCACAGAACACCCTGGTGGAGATACTGAAGCAGGTGACCGAGATGGAATCGAAAGGAATCATCAGGCGAACGCACAGCCCGTATTCATCACCCGTGCTATTGACGAAGAAGGCCGACGGAACCTATCGATTTTGCATCGATTTCAGAGAACTAAACAGGGTGACGGTGAAGGATGCATTCCCGATGCCTCAGATGGAAGAAATTTTCTCAAGCCTTCACAGTGCGAAGCAGATATCTCTGATTGATCTCCGCTCGGGATATTGGCAACTGCCGATCGCAGAAGAAGATCGCCACAAGACGGCTTTCAGCGTCAATGGCCAGCAGTATGAGTTTTTGAGAATGCCGTTTGGATTGTGCAACGCCCCAGCTACATTCAGGCGTTTGTTGCTGATGGTCCTAGCGAACCTGCAAGGCGTGGTTGTTTATGGTGATGACATCATCGTCTTCTCTGAGACGGAACAGGAACATGTGACCAGACTTGGAGCAGTACTGCAGAGACTCGATGAAGCTGGTCTGAAACTCAGTCGTAAAAAGTCGCAGATTGGCCAAAAGTCAATTGTATGCTTGGGTCACATCGTGGGCAATGGTCAAGTCCAACCACTTCCGGAGAAACGCGAGACTATCAAGTGCTTCACAAAACCAAAATCCAAGCGTCAGCTCCGTTCGTTCTTGGGTGTGGTGGCATATGATTCAAAGTTTGTGCCCCAGTTCGCAGAGAAGGTCAGCCCGTTGTTAAAGCTGCTTCGCAAGGACGTGCCGTTCGTGTGGACAGCTGAAGCGGATCAAGCCTTTGACCAGCTAAAGGCATGCATAGCAGAAGCCCCGACATGTCTACGGCTACCCAATCCTGGTGAGAGATTCACTGTGGCGGTCGACGCAAGCAACGTGGCAATCGGTGCGGTTTTGTCTCAACCGGCTGGGGTGGTGGAGTACGCGAGCAGAGTGCTGACGGGGGCGGAGCAGAAGTATTCAACAACGGAGAAAGAATGCTTGGCCATCGTGTGGGCGTTAGAGAAGTGGAGAAATTACTTACTGGCGAATGAATTCCGGGTCGTCACTGACCACAAACCGCTCTCGTGGTTGATGACGGCGAAAGACCCGCGGGGACGGCTTGCGCGATGGGCCTACCGATTGCAGGAATTCAACTTCACCATTGAGCACGGGGATGGTACGCAGAATGTATTGCCAGATATGTTGTCACGCCCGTGTTTGGACGACATCATGCCAGACCATGCTATACCGGTGCGTGCGTTCGCGATGGGAGAGAGGAACCTGCTGGGAGATCAAAGGACAGATGAATTCATGAATGTGTTGTGCTCTCACTTACGGGCTGGCACCAAACCGGAGGCTACATCGGAGGAGGTGGAGGAACTCCTCAAGATCTGGGACAGGTTGAAGGTCAAAAACGATAACGTGGTGGTGGCGATAGACGGACGGAAAGTGCCTTTTGTTCCACCAAATCAGCGAGAACGTGTGATGCGCATAACTCATGATGGCGCACATATGGGATTCGAGCGGGTCTTTGAATTGCTGCGGAGGCGAGTGTTTGGCCAACTATGAGGAAGGAAGTCGCGGCATACCTCCGGGAGTGCCCAAACTGCCAAACGAGTCGTGAGATGGAGTCCCCGAGACCGCCGATGCGATCGATGGAGGTTGGTGAGCCACTTCAGTGTTGGGGACTGGACGTCTTTGGGCCCTTACCAGTGAGTCGAACAGGAAACAGATACATTCTAGTGATGATTGACCACTTCACTCGATGGGTGGAAGCCATACCAATCAAGGACCAAACAGGCGAGACAGTGTCGCTAGTATTCGAATTCAATGTGCCTGCAAGGTATAGGATCCCACAGTGTATAATCACGGACCAAGGTCCCTGCTTCGAGTCAAGAGCGTTTAAGGCAGTGTTGGACAAGTGGGGCATCCAGAGACGGCGAACTTCACCGTACCACCCACAAACCAACGGGATGACCGAGCGGTTCAACCGGACATTGAAGACGTGGATAAACTGCACGAAGTTGGCATGGGAAGATGCTTTGCCTCAGGTTCTGATCGCGTATCGGACCAGCATGCAATCAACCACCAAGGTCTCGCCATTCGAATTACTGTTCGGCAGAGAACCACGGATTGCGCTCGATACTTGCCTACCGAACCAGGGTGAGTGGAAACATCCAGCTGAGCATCAAGAGCGACTGCGATGGAAAGCTAGAAGCGAAACCAAAGCTCGACAAGCGCGGAATAAGCGAAATTACGACGCCAGGCATGAGGCTCACAAGTGGAGGCCATTCAGGATTGGAGAACGAGTCAAGTTACGAAACAACGATCGGCCGGATCATGACGGGCCGGGCGCAAGCAAGTTCAGAGAACGCTGGAAAGGCACCTACACCATTATCGACCAGAAAGCGGGCAACATCTTGATCGACTGCGGAGGAATGAAACGTTGGGTGAATGCTGCTCTCCTGCGACCATTGTACGAGAGGAAAAAGGTCCTGGAGGAGGGGCGGGTGTAGAGGGGCCGCGTTCAAGAATGGCTCTGGGGAGCTCTTCGGAGCTAGCTGAGAGCGGATCGCGAAAGACGGCTAGCGACGAGCCTGGGCCCGGAACTACGGAGCGGGAATATGGGGACAGCGCAATAAATCAGACAAATACGCCGCTAGCGCAGCCCACAGAACCGAGGCCGAACCGATTGACACAGCCCAGAACAAGCAAGTCGAGAGCTCTCGAACGACTCCTGGCCGATCCAAATCGGGTGCAGAGAAGCGGAGATCGAGGCGGAAACAGGAAGGCGGATCTTCCAAGTCAGAGCTCCCGAGGCGAAAGGACTGGCTCGTCTCTAACATCCGTACCTGTGTTGCGTTGTGGGACGGAAAGCTAGTCGATATTCGATGGCGCGCGCGAGACCCTAAGGTGTGCCCATTTTCGGTGTGCAGTAAACGTCTACCCCCTTGTCTTGTCGTTCTCGCTACAATATGAAGATCCTTGTCAATGAGGTGGCCACGACATTTTGGAGAGAAAGTGCCTTCCGTATGTGGTGCCGTTGCTCGCGGCAGTGCATCTGCGAATCTTCAGAAGAGTAATATGTAAGCTCAGGAACACTGTGAGCAATCATTGTTTTCTTCCCTTGACTTTTCTGTACCTCTGTTTGTTAGCGGGATCCACTGAAAGTTCTTTCCACAGGATTTCAGGTAGTATGCGCATTCCGCTTGAGCCGCTTCGGAGACGATTCGCATACAGCCGAACGTCCTCATTGTCGTCCGCCGCGTTTAGTGTTACCCGAAATAACTGGGGTTCGCCGTAGTGCAACGCGTTTGGGTGACGCGTGATTCTTTACAAAGTCGTGGGATTAGCCTGGACCCCGTTCGAAGTACAGATGGAACCTCACTGATTTCGATCTTCACTTTAATTGTCAAAGCACTCTCAATGGTATGCTTCATTGGAGTAGCAGTGTACACATGGAAAGAACACTTCGTACGCTTCTGGCGTGGCTTCCGAGGAGGAGCCAATCCAAATGTTATTATTTCATGAAGGAATGTGACTGTTTTGAAATGTGTAACCTTTCCAGCCATTACTGACCGTAGCGTTTGCGGGTGAAGAAGTTCTTCATTTAAGCCTTGGGCGGAGCTTGCTTTACGGACAGGATCTTTATTTATTTTGGAAGGACCTGGTCTATCCAGTGTGAATAATGGAAGGTATCTCACCTGCAGAATCGCATGCGGGTCAAATGTATAGCTACCCGTTGAGTGAAAATCAGATCTGATATTAGCGTGTTTGAAAGATATATCAAAGGCACGTGGTAACAAGGCTAAAATTGTATGGATGGGCATTGTCTTTCCCGCATTGTATGAAGCTCGCGTGCAGTCGCCTGCAGCTTGATTGACAATGGTCTAACATGGGCTGACAACTATCTTGCCAAGCGGATGTCGTTCATGAAAACAGTGAGCGGGAAAAGAAAGCACTGTGACAAATAGTAGGTTTTGGGGTGCCCGCCTCGTGTTTGAATTACGACACTCAACCTCTGTTGCGGTTATAGTTTGCTTTGAACCAGACATATGTCATTTCGATCATCGTTCTGTTTTATCTATGCACTGCTCGATGGCAACAAAAGTAGCATGAGACTGAGGGTAGTCGATTAAACGCAGAATTAGGGCTTCAGAATAGGGTTTTGTCTGCCGGATAGAATAAATAACTAATTGCGGTTCTTCGCAGCTACACTCCAAATCAGATAGTCAGCCACAGGCCCGGAAATGCACTAGACTATACTTTCAGCCTGTTGGGCACCAACAATAATGCGCCTCAATCGGATCCCTCAAGCTTCCAACATATGACCACTACTGTCAGCGGGCGTCGCGTTTTTGAAGGCCAACCATGTCCTCTGAAACATCTGTAACTTGCGTGGTAGTAGAGGAGAAGACGTGCTATGTCGTAAGTAGCTTGTACATCATGACGGTTCGAAACTGTCCCCCATGGCCCAGTGGCATATGCTGCTAACACTCGGTTAAAGCCGCAGGTAGTCATGGGTCCGAATCCTAATGGATCCGATGAATACGCACTACTGATGATGCTCAAAGGGCTAAAATTGCAGCGTAGCGCTTTACCGGGCACGTGGACGACTGTCGGAGTAGGAAACTGGCCTCAAAGAACTTTATTTAGTTAAAACAATATCCCCTACTAATGAGTACGTCAAATGATTAAAAGCTTTTTTTCTACAAAGCAACAGCGCATTTGGGCGCGATCAGAATAATACATGGTTGTACATAATGGCACAAATCGCAGGTCCAAGAGCAAGAGCAATACAGATGTTGTCAGTCGTGTGGGCCCATTTGGCCCAAAGATTGAGTGAAGTTGCTCCACGAGCGTATCGATTCACGCCTCGGCATGCGTAATCAGAAGGTGCGTAAGGGAAATGGTTCGCAGAGTACGGGACGTAAGGTAAGTATTACGGAGGTTCTCGGTGTTGGGTATGTTGGTGAGGAACTGGTCTGTTGAGGTTGAGTACAGTGCGAGTGGTGTGAGTGAAGCATGAGGACGAACCTGTAAAAGCGTTTTAAGAATGCAGGCATCTCAATAATGCACGTGTCGTTGTATGAGAGCGGATATATGTGCAGAACTTGTGAAATGTGGTATCCGTCAACTTGCCGATGCATGATAGGGGGCAGTGACTACGTTAAATAACAAATCATATCGGCCACGTCGCAGGGTTGGTAAACAGACATTTGTGGCTTGTTGTTGGGGATACACTTGTCAGGCGAAAGCCCACCACGTCCTGCAACACTTCCGACAAGAAAGCTTAGAACTTCTCACGTCATCCAGCCTGGTGCCCTGGGGTGACCTTTCCAAACGCTGCCTGCTTGCAACATTTTTCTCCAAAGCTTTTGGGTTCTCACCTAGGGAAAAACTGAGAAAAGAAGCATGGAGTTGCTAATTGTCTTTACAACTGCATAAACTGTCACCAACACACCACGGTCTAACGACACTATTGCTTCTACTCTTTTATCGAGCTTCTTCGCTATTTGTCTAACGAACACTGAACGGTGGTGACACCTGTTTCATCACAGCTGTAAATTCAGTCAGCTGTGAACCCTTTATCTATGACAAGCTTAAGCTTATCATAAAGTTGCCGCGCATTTGTGTCCTTGAAACAAGCCAGCCTTTGCAGGGCGTGGCCTCAGGAGAGCGCATCGACAGAATTTCCTAGTCTCTTTCATACATGATAACCACCAAACTTTTCCAGTACATAATTTTCTTTCCACTACTTGACTGGGGCACTAGATTGCGAAAGCATAAACTGTAAGCAAGCCTTCCTAGTTCATAAATGTTCAGTCCAAGGTAGACCGGTAATGCCTTAGAGCATCGTCAGGAAGGGTCTGTACCAGCTATTCTTCAGAAACCATTCTTGGCGCGCTATAATCAAAACTACTATTTACAAGGGTTTCAGTATAAGTGTTGTTTTAACGTAGTGACAAGTGTTTTCTAGTTCAAGAAAAAGATGTTGGCCCCATGTCAGACGAATTTGCCTTTGTCCAGGGGAACTTAATTTCCCACCAACGTGGGTTCTTAAATTCCTACCGTTATCTCTCGGTAACGGCAAAGTCTTCTACCCCACGAACATTGGACTGCGCGTAGTAGATCAGGGAACGGCGGGTATTAAAATTTAAACCTGCCGTACTACGGATTTCCGCTCAACGGCAACGTATGTAAGCAATTTTAAGCTCAATTGCCTACTAACCACCGTGTTAAACCACAAAAACCAGAAGGTGCGGGACGTTAAGTGATTCTTCCGCGTGAGCCTCCATAGTTGACAAAGGCCACCTAAGCATCGTGGCAGCTTAATAATGACTTAGATAATGAAATGAAAATAAACTGGCGCGCAAACGTATCTCGTAAGCGAAGTTGCGCAAACCTGTGCCTCGATGTCCCATCCCAAGCTACAATAATGTGAAAGAATGACGTTGGAATACAAGGGGGCCTTTCTGTAGATGTGCAAGCGTATAACCATTTCAACTTTTTAACTTTTGTACGTCATCCTTGTGCATTGGCCATCGCTCCCATTTCTGTATATTTCCAATTTTAGTACATGTACCGCCGTAGCGAGTACGAAAGGCGACGCACCCAGGATTCGAACCCCGGCTGCAGGGCTGATAATCATGCACACTACAGCTACGTTATACTCGAGTCATGCTTGCCGCTTATATGTTAGCTGAAAAACCGTCTGTCAAAGAAAGGACTGTGAAAAGCAGCATTCCCCAAACTTTCTGAAGTTTGTAAAGGTTAACAAAGCTGCATAACACGATTCCAGCATTTAGTTTGCCAGTTATTGCATAATTTGGTAGCTACCGGCGGCATAAGAATCGTCCACTCACGTTGTCTCACTGAATACCTGAATTCGGTGTTCTTTAGATCTATGCTGTTAGGCTGTTGGGCTGTTTTATCGTGAAAAGTAAATGATGTGCTTACTGGAACTCCAGAAGGCAAAGGAATGCAGTGTTAAATGGTTGTATCATGAAACGGTTAAAAATGCAATCTTTAATACACACTGATTAACAAGTGGATAAATATGAGGCTGAATGTATAATTTCCCATAAGAAGCCACAGACTAGGTGTCCGTATCATGAAAGAGGTGGGAGCTAACGTACTTAGTGGCCCCAAATGTATATATGTAGATGTAGTCCAGGTGCTCTATAAGGAATATTTGCCTGGCAAGCGGGGTAACTTAGCAATAAAATACAATGGTATAAGTGAATTGGAAACGAAATTTATAGTGTATAAGTGATAACACGTAGATATATGATGTGAGATATGGAAACTTGGGTTTCCATCCTAACCTGTACTAAGGTACACGAATGACGTAGGTATGTGACGGAGCCTTCCTTTAGATATTCAAGCCTAGAACTCATGTTAATGTTTCAAACCTTGGCTGTCATCTTGGCGAAGGGACCATTGCAATCATCTATGTATAATTCCCAGTTTAGCTTATATACGCCGGAGGGAGTATAAAAGCCGACACCCTAGCATTCGAAACCCTGCTTCATGGCTGGCAATCTGGCACGTTACCATTCGCTATACTCCAGATGACTATAACGCGATGACAGCTGTCAAATAGCTACACAAAGATATTTCTTTCATTCGCCGTAGGAGTATTCTATGATTCCATTGTCAAACAGAGCAGAGACAGCCGAAATCAACGTATCGCTATTAAAGGTCCTCCAAATTTTTTGTCGCTTGTACGTTCCCATTTTAATAACCTGGAGAGACGCTAAAAGCATAGTTAGCCTATTAATACTACGCTCGTAATAAGATAGCCGAATAAGTAGTCCGACTACGACAAATAGCCAGATTAGCACACATGACTACTATAAAACAGACAGCAGTACCAACTTATTATTGATATCAAGTCCCTAAATTTTTAATATCAGCAACAGGTGTAAACATATTTTCGTGGGGCACAAAGTGAAAATGTACATGGCATCTGGACTTTGCCTTATGACTAATTTGTTAGGTTAGTTGACATAATTTATATATATATATATATATATATATATATAATGATTTTAAAGCAAACATCGACACTACATACTGAAATGGTTAATGAACACTTCATTCAAAAGGAAACCATTAGGTAAATTAGAAGTTAATGTTGACTCGCCTTTTTGATTATCATTATTACAACATCAGAAAAGCAAAATGACAAAAGCGGGAAAATTTCTAACGTACCCAGAGCGTACTCCGTAATTTTGTATGTAAGCTTTGTACCTGGAAATACATGAGGCAATAAAAATGTTGTTATTCTGTCCACTTCAGTTTTCGCTAAAGACGATAGGTGACCTACCCATGAGAATTTAAGTCCTACTTCTACTCTAAAGTGGGTTGAGCACAGAGTTATAAAGAGTGATCATAGAGCTTGTGATCGTCAACGATTTTAAAAGGCGTCCAATTAATGACGTGGCTATTGCAGTACTCTAGCTCACGTTTTTCGAAATCAATTGAGGTTGAGTAGCGTACTCCTAGGTCCATTACTACAACACTGTTGTCTAATGTGGCACAGTTGAGGGTTGGTGAGTTGTCCTGTGAGTTGTGCTCTAAGTTGCATCTGTAGCAGAGGAGGTTGCATATTTCAGGAGAGAATTCAAGTTTCCCTAATTTGCTCCAGCTTTCTAAGGACTTGAGGTCGTCTTGGACACGTGGGATGCTGTCCGAACTATAAAAAAGAAGACGACCCTAATATTGTCATCTAACAAAATGACGTACCGTGTGCGAAAAATAGAAGTACATCGTTAACTAGCTTAGGAATAGTAATGGGCATAGATCATTACCCTGAAAGAAGCAATTTGAAACGGGTGACGGTTCTGATTCAATATTACTAACTCTAATGGATTGCGTTCCATGTGAACGATAAGAAAAGAACCACAATAGTATTTGGCCTGAGATACCATGTTGCTAGCTTTGACAAGCGTCTCGCATCAGGGAGGCGGTCGAAGGACTATCTCATGTCCCAAAAGATGTGTTGTGTGGCGCCTGAGATACTAGTCGGTTATCAATGACATTTAAAGCCGTGTCAAATACAGACAGTATAGAAGTTAGAGGCGACTGAACCCAACGTGTGTTGTGCAGGCTACAAAGATAGGAAGCGAAACAACAGGAGCGAGAAACGGTGCGGCAAGGTACTCACCAAAACGATTTGTGTCGTCGGATGTGCTGTCAGTAAAACAACTGGACGTCTTGAAGGTTAAAATAACGGTAAAATCCAATGTTACAACATACCGGAAGAACGTGTTCTTCGGTGCACTACAAGGGACTCCTCATAGAAGGCTTACGGTTGGAAGTCTTCGATGGAGCTCTTAGTAGGGGAAAACGCGAGGTGAGGATCGGTGCTAACAGTGCTTGGGCTTGAACAATGGCTTCCAAGCTGTGGTGTGTAGCAGAGTTCGCTGGCTCCAGGCCTTTGTTATTAATTATTTATGATGATCCTATGGACCAGCGTGCATCTGCGGTTGGCCGTCGGGGCGGGCAAGTTGGACTTCAAACGTCTAGCCAGTGCAGAATAAAGACCGACAGGACCTTCCGTTTGCTTCAGACCGGACGGTGCGCTTAAGAGATGTCACTTATCCCACTGCACTCTAGTCCACGGTCGTCTACCCACGAAGAAATCCGGGCGTCCTTGTCTTACGAAAAGTCCGGTGTCCTCCTCGTCAACGCATAGTCAGGCGTTTGGGGGACTAACCGTTAGTGGCCGTCCGCGCCCGAGGACGACTGACTATTCCTTGGGTCCCGAAGGGGTCGCGGGTCGGCTGGCGAGTTACTCGGGGGTTGTGTTATGTCGGCTGGTGAGTCGCTCGAGGGTTGCGTCGGGCCGGCTGGCCACTCACTCGAGGGTTGCCTTGGAAGTTCCAGATGGATTGCATGGGGTTCGGCAAAGAAGGTCACGTTGAGGCGGTTGATAGACTACGTAATTCGGTGAACACACTGCTTTAAGCTGAAGTGTTTCGGCGTCCGTTGCAGGAATCTGAAAGGGCCAGTGTAGGGAGGCTGGATTGGGCGCCGCAATGCGCCGATGCGGAGAAAGACGTGAGTGCAAGTAGCAAGTCCACTGTGCACTTGCACAGCTATACTCGGCTCACGGGGCGGAGTCGGGCGTAGTGAACGCATGCGTTGAGATAGGAAAGGCGCAAGTTTAGGCGGAAGCATACCCAACGATGCGGGAGACGAAAGAAATTCTCCTAACAACATTAGCATTGCGCCGTAAACCAACTCTGCTGGTGCACATTGCAAGTCAGCTTTGCATGTGCTGTGAATGCCTAAGAGTACGAGCGAAAGGTTTTTGCTCCAGCCAGGGTCGGAGGAGGCGCAATGCGGGGCTTTTAGCTGTCTATGGAAGCGTTCAACCAACCCGTTCGCTGTTGAGTGATTTGTTGTAGTATGAATGCGGCGACAGCCTAGAAAGTTGTAGAACGTAGCGAATTGCGAAGGTTCGAAAGTCATTTCTCGGTCAGTTGTAATTGTGAACGGGCACCACCAGTGAGAGACCCACCGATCTAAATAGGCCCCGATAGCAGTCTCGCTGTGCAGTCTGTTACGGGAATGGCTTCTGATCATCTGGGGAAGCGGTTGACACATGTAAGAATGTATACGAATCCGCGTGACGGAGGCAAGGGACCTACGAGGTTTAAGTGTACATGCGAGAACCGAGAGTCCGGGGAGGGAAATGAAGCAAGAGGATTGCGGTTTTGACGAAGCATTTTGTAGCGCTGGCATTGAAGGAAGGCGCGAGCCCATGTACGAAAATCTTTGTTTATGTGTCGCCAAACGATAGGTCCGGTGATCAGTTTCAAAGATGCACGGATACCGGACGTGCTAGTGTGTGCAGTGCGTCCCAGACTGTGAGTCTGAAGTGGTGTACAGAGAGGTCTAAGACCACCTGTGTAAAAGCCACAGATAATGGTTCCTTAATGGGGTTATAAAGGAACAGGTTGCACTTGCAACAACTGGATTGCAGAGGGCATTGTAGGTCTTCACCTTGAGCCTGAGCTGATGCCATGGCAGCAAGGTCGATGGTAGGTAAGGACTGGAGAGTGAGGTTGACGCGTCAGAGAGCGTCGGCGACGAGATTATGGACACCAGAGACATGGCGTATGTCAGTAGTGATCTGCATGATCTAGTCGAATTGTCTTGGTTCCCGTGGTAAATATTTGTCGTAGGCAGATTTGTAGGCGAGGATAAGGGGCCTGTGATCAGTGTAGACGGTGGAAGCACGGCCTTAGCGTGTGTGCTGGAAGCGCCGAACGACTAAGTAACCGGGGAGCAGTTCTCCGCCCAAGTGCTGTAGCAGAATTCCGCTGGCTTCAGGCGTTTGGAGAATAACCCAAGGGGTTGCCATCGCTCACCCATGCGTTGTTGGTGGACGGCTACTACCACGACATCTGAGGCATCAGTTGTAATAGAAAGGGGCACATTCGACTTGGAATGAGCGAGGTGGGTTATGTTAGAGATAGCGTACTTGAGCTCAGCGAAGACTGTCTGTGCTGTGTCAGGAAAAGCGAATTTACGTTCATTTCCTCTGAGTAGTTCGGTCAGAGGCAGCATGAGCTAAGTGCAGCATGGAATGCAGCGTCGATATTAGTTGACCAAACTACAAAATCGACGGAAGTGCTTGAACGAAGTCGGAGCTGGGAAAGCCTTTATTGCCCGGATGTTATCAGAAAGGACTTCGATACCAGACAGTAAACCGAGGTCGCCTAGGAATTCTACCATAGATTTGCCGAGTTCGCACTTAGTCGGGTAGACTGTGACACCGTGTTGGATAAAGCGCTGAAAGAGAGTTCTAAGGTGGTCGAATTGCTCAAGTTCTGATGAAATGGCCAAGAAAATATCTTCAAGACAAGCATCAGCGAAATGTGTAGGCCACGACTGACGTCGTGGATAATGCGCTGGACGGTTTGTGCGGCCTTGCACAGTACAAATAGCATCCTTACACATTCAAACTAGCCGAGAAAAGTGAGCACGACACTTATATGAATGCCTTTTCCTTGTACAGGTATCTGGGGATGGGCTTGTAACTGATCGTTCTTGCTGTATATCGTCTTACCTGTGAGGCATGCGGTAAGGTCCTGTATGTGTGAGATGGGATACCTATCTAGGACGGTTAGCCGATTGAGTGCCCGGTAATCACCGCAAGGGCGCCAGTCACCAGATTTCTTGGAGACTATCTGCAAAGTAGAGGACCAAGGACTGTCGGAAGTACGGATTGTTCCAAGTTCGAGTATGCGCTCAAACTCCGCCCTAGCTACCTTAGTGTCTTGGGCGATATTCGGCGTGGACGTCATGAGACGGGTAAGCCATTCTTCCGTATGTGGTGCGTGACTTGGGCTGACACGGGCAAAGCTGCGTTCATTGGCTGAACGAGCTCGGAATACTGAGAAAAGAGGTTGGCGTAGTCTGGCGAGGTCTGAGGAAAGAGGTAGACTTGTGTTATGGATGCGAGATCGGCGGTGATGCCACGTACACTGAGTTTCGTTGCAGTGTCGACTATCATCTGGCGTTTCGCATCGACCAAGAGGTTGAAATGCCTGAGAAAGTCGATGCCGATGACGGTAAAACGGACTGCAGCGAAGAAGAATGCCCAGCGGAATGTGCGCTGAAGACCTAGGTCCACAGTAAGCGACCGGGGATCGTAGGTGGCTAGTGGTGTGCCATTGGCGGCACTGTGGCTTGTCGACAAAGCGACGCGAGGCTAACCTGGCATAGGGAGAATGCCGCTGACTTCCGCCCTCAGTATCAACTATGAACTGGGTCTCGGAAGCATAATCCGTAATATAGATGAGACTACTTTTTGCTTTGCCGACGTCGTTCGTGGTGATTACAGAGCAGCGTTACGGATCATCTGTAGCGGAGTAGCTACATGGCTATACGCACGTACCGGCTTTATGACCAAAAAGTGAGTGATAAAATCAGTACGCTGGGGCGCCAGGTTTTGTGTTACGGGGGGATGATGCAGCGCGGCTGTTGTGCTTAAGGTTTAAAGTGAGCTCCTTGGCCTGGTGCGGAGCGACGCTACCTGCGATCATAATGCGTCCATTGCCGACGGCTGGTTTTTCGTGGGTGTCGGTGTAGTTGCGCTAGCAAAATGCTGCCTTGATTTTAGTCACTGGCTGGTGCCGTACGATGACGCGGTTTGCTAGATCTGTAATTGCTGTGAGTGGCAGGTCTCTTGCTACTACAAGGATAGCCTGAGCGCTTTCAGGAAGGCGTTGCATCTA